ATAGCAGACCAATTTGGGGCTTGGGCCAGAGATCCCTTCACTTGGCTGAATCTCCTTTTAGCCTTCTCCTCCGGATTGGATTCCACCCTCCGACGGATAGCCTCTCTGCCAACCTTCGGGTTGAAGTGACACAGTGGAGTCCACACTTCTGAGTCCCCTGAACCCGTCCTCCATTCTCTCAGTAAGGGTTCCACCCGAAAGTTCTCAGCCTCTCCCAACAGCAGAAGCTGGTTTTTCTGAGTAAGCACTCTTACTTCTTGAAGGTTCATGGACGAGGGCACTGTTTTATCTTCCAGTCTAATCAACTGGATCCCTTTTCTTGATCTTGGGCCCTCCCTCCATTCTTCCACCCTCCAACCCCCCCCCAAGTCGGGTCCTATTATTTTCCACAATCTCGACTCCTCGTCCTGTGCCCTCAACCACGTACCCACTGCGTGTTCTGTCTCCCTGCACAACATCTCCGACCACTGGTGGGGGATCGCTGCAAGCAATCTGGCCCTGTTGTGTGACACCGACCGACAGCGGGGGAGTTTCTGACGTAGTTGGTCCTCCGTGAGCCAAGTCTCCTTCTCTTCGTCCCACAAATGTCTGATAAGAAATACGCCCTTCTCTATCCAAGTCTTGCCAAAATTTCCCCGCCCTTCCGTTGCTGGGAAGGCTGAGTTATCTACAGAGCATACGAGGGGGTTCTCAAACACACATTGCGCTTCAATCTCCCTCTTCGTTTCCGGCGGGCGTACCACTTTCGGCCGTAGAGTCTTCCACCCTCGCAGGATCCCCCGCCAAGTTCTTGATTTAAGTCTTTTATTCAAGAATGAAGGAATTGATATACATTGCCATACATCACTCCCATTTCCCAACTCCCATTCCTTGGCCAGTATATACTCCGCAATTTGTACCCACAACTTGGAGGGATCCTCAAACAAAGCTTTGACTACCCATTTGGCTAAGAGAGCCACATTCTGAATTTGTGGGTCCAAGATACCCAGACCACCCTCGTTCCGAGCGAAACAGATTGTTTTCCATGCCACCTTAGATAGAAACCCTTGGTCTTCTTCCAATCCTGGTTTCCACAAGAACCGTGCTGCTACTCTCTTGATATATGAGTACGCCTCTTTGCCCAACAGACATATTGACAATGGGAACCACAACACTGAGAAAGCCGCCGCCGAAAGAACCAACGCCCTCCCAAATATGGAGAGTCTATAGTGCCTGAGCCAACCATTAATTCTCGCCGAGATTTTGTCTGAAAGAACATGGTCCTGTGTCCTTGAACAATCCGATAACGAAATCTGAACTCCCAAAAACCTCTCAGAGTTCTGAGTTGGGACTATCTTGAGCCCCCAATCTACTTTAAGAGAGAATTGAAAAGGTAAAAGATACACAGATTTAGTCCAGTTTATGGAAGCCTCGGAGAGATCACAATATGTATCAATAACTAATTTTAACTCCTCCAATGATGAAGTTGAGTTCTCACAGGCCACCGTCAGGTCGTCTGCCAGAGCCCCCCCTTTCCATTGGATGGTTGGGCTTAGTTGTAAACCTATAATTCTTGGGTTATATCTAATATTATCCAACAGAACCTCCAACTGGAGGACAAACATCAACGGGGCTAACGGGCAGCCTTGCCTAAGCGACCGGGTGAGTGGGAATTTGTCGGAAAGATGGCCGTTTACAGAGACCATTGACGTGGCTTGACCATACATCGCATGGATCCATCTCAGGAAGCCGCTAGCAAAGCCCAGATTTTTCAGGGTAGTTGATACAAACGCCCACCCCACTTTATCATAGGCTTTTTCCATATTTAGAAGTAGAACTACGACTTCTCTTTTCTCTGAACCTATTATTTCCAGGGTCTGGACCGTGGACATAATGTTCTAAAAAATGGACCTTCCCTTGACGAATGCCCCTTGCTCCCAACCCACCAGGTTTGGCAGCACCGTGGCCAACCTGATAGAAAAAACTTTGGCTAATATTTTATAAGCTACATTCAAGATCGAGATAGGACGATAATTTCTTACATCCCTCTTGTCGCCCTTCTTATACAGAAGGGAGATAACCCCTTTAGTAAAATTTGATGGAAGAGAACCTTTCACCAGGGCCCCATTATAAATCTGACACAAAAACGGACCGAAGCCCTCCCAACAGCTCAGGAACAGTTCCACTGGCATGCCATCAAGCCCCGGGCGTTTGCCCGCAGCCATCTGTTTGGTGGCCATGTGAAGTTCAACCACTGTTAGGGGGGCTTCCAACATTGTTCTCGTGCTGACATTAATTGCCACCTTGGAGTTATTCCAAAAGTTTGAGTCTAATGAAAGGTCTGATTGAAAGGTGTCAAATCGGCGTCTCGTTGTCACAATATCTCTGAAGTACTCCAATGCATAGGAGCACATGTTAGCTTTGTCTGATGTTGCGGCCTCATCAATCTGAAAGGGGTGGATTAATTCTCTGATGAGCGGTCTGAATTGCTTCAAGATCAACGATCAAAAAGTTAGCTTTGTCATCCTATCGTATCCACCCCCCCCCCCCTCAGTTTCAGCCATTCCAACCATTCTGCTTGCTTTTGTATATTCAAGGATTCCATCTGACACAATGCTTGCTTTCTTTTTTCTGCCCAGAAGAACTCCTCAAAGGGGTCCTGGCTCATTAACGCTTCCGCCTGTTCAATCACCTTTAGACACTTCAATTCTTTCCAGTTCCTTTTTGCTGCTTTCATTCATGAAAATACAATCAAGGCTTCCCTTACAATACCTAAGCCCACCTCCGCCCACTGGTCCTCAGAGTCAAAACGAACCTGCGCTGCCGCCCATTTCGACATCTGAGAAGTCACCTAGTCTGTGATTCCCTTGTCCTTTAAATTGGACACATTCAGTCTGAACGGTGGTCTAGCTTTATGGACCAAGTCTTTAGCCACTATATCCGCCGCTACCGGGTAGTGGTCAGAAATATCAGAAATAAAAAAATCAACAAAGACACATCTGTCCCACAAATCTCCCCTTATAGCTATCAAATCTAGTCTGCGTCGTGGCTGGGGAGCGGTTTTCGATGGTCTTGGTCCATACCATGTGTAACCATGGTCATCCGGGTTCATCACCCTGTAGGCATCCGTCAAGGACTGGGACTCCAAAAAGGACATTAAAAGGGTGTTGTCGGAACGCAGGGTAGAAGGAGCAGGGGAGTCCAGGCCTGGGTTCAGCGTTGTATTCCAGTCTCCCAAAATGGCAAGGTTCTCCACATCTGGTATACAGGCTGGGAGGTTGGCCAGGAAGGACACCCTTTCTGAATAGGTAGCTGGGACATATACTGACATAACAGCCCAAACTTCTTCTCCCATTTCTATCTTAGCCCAAACCCATCTACCCTCAGGATCGATATAATGATCTATTATCATGCAGTCTAAATCTTTCTGAAATAATAAAGCGACTCCGCCCCTTGTACCATCTGTCGGGGCCCAAAACTGAGGCCCATCCCACCACCCCTGTGTTTCCCGTGTCTTCTCTGCGTCTAACTTCGTCTCCTGCAGACCAATTATCTAACATTTTTTAAGTAAAACCAGTGCCGAAGTCTCGACCTCTTTTCTCTATTCGAGGTATCACCTAGACCTTTTACATTCCAAGTCAGCAGGCGTACTTTATTCGGCAGAACCATCTAAATGGTCAAAGCCGCCATGTTGGATGCGGGCCCTTTGAACCGGAATATATTTCTCCATCGGTTCTACCGGTTCCATGCCCAGTGGTCGTAGAGGAAGACCCCCCCCGCCACTTGGTTCAAAAATTGCTCCGAGGACAGGAAATCTCCCACCTCAGCCTTATTAAGCCAGTTTGCAACATCCAAAGTCGTGAGTCCTGCAGGAAGCCTGATAGGAGAGCAGGATTCCCTCCTCCCCTGCGCCAGCTCATTTAAGAGCAGCCAATAAAGCCCTGAGTCACTCCAATTGGCGAAGGAGGCTGAGATAGCCTGGATTGTAAAAAAGCAATGTGGAGAATAATTTTCCGTCCATTTGGCAGRCCAACTATATGTCTATCCATCTTTGGATCCGGTAGAACTACACAGGAACCCAAGAAATGCAGAACTTGTTCATTTTCTAGTTGTACCCTCGTCTCTGCCAGCGGCACTGCCGAGACTTCGATCGCAGGTAAAGACAGAGAATCATCCTTTTCCCGCTTTGTAAGGGCCATCATACCCAGCGGAGAGTTTGAACAAATTATAGGAGTTAAAAATTCCTGTATTTTCCCTTTTGTTCGGTCTGACTTGGACAGCATTACCATCGGGCTTGCCAGAGATAGTCCTTTTTTAGATGACCTGGTCATATGACCTCTCTTCTTGGATGACGCCTTGTCTGTCAGTACTGACCCCGCGGGTTCCCCCAAATACTGTTCCTGTAAGGTTGGCCAAGCTGCGTCCTTGCCCAACTTGGCCTTTTTGCTAGGAGTACACATTACCACATTTTCCTGGTCTTTATGGGGATCTAACTGTATGTCCCCTTCCGCGAATAAGCCTGCCACCGCAAAATCAAGAATTTCCTCTGGTATTCTTTCTTCGTACTCAGAGTTCTCGAGGTCCTGCGGTGACCTGCCGTCTTGGTCCGCTCTCCGGCCCTCTTCCCCCTGTGGCTCCTTAGAGTTGTCAGGGGACTGCAGGCCTGCGGCCTCTTCAGATTAGATTGTTATTCCGGAAGAGTGTCCCTCCATATCATCTATCCCCATTTTCGGTGTATGCTGCTTGCCTGAAAAAATCAGTGGTTTGAGCGGGGTCTTTGCGAAACCCACCTTACGGCCAGCCTCCTTCGTAAAAACAATCTGTTTAGGAGCCATACTGGATTTATCGCCCCCTTGCAGCCCTTTCGGGAACCCGTCTGTTGGCTGGTTGCCTACAGGGGCCGTTCCTGCTTCTGCGTCCAAAGCTTCCTCCCAGTCTTTCGACTGACGGGGGCTTTGCGGCAGCGGATCCGGCAGGTCTTTCCGAACCGTCTTACTCTCATCATCCAAACAAGTAGTGCCTCTTGGTGTGCTGCCGTCAAGGTCCGATCTAAGGCCAACATCCCCCTGCAACATATGGGTACTGTCGAGGGGCTGTCTGTCTGCAGCATTTACGGGTTGGACTAGCGCTTCGGAGGAGATTCCCTTAATACCCTCTGTCCCCACTTTCAGTGGTTTGAGTGGGAACTTAGCAGTCTCCTCTTTCCGGCCAGTCTCTTCCGTGACAGCTGTCTGTTTAAGATCCCCGCTGTTGTCACCTCCTTGCAGCCCTTCCACTAAATCCTCCATTAATTCACTCTCTGCAGACACTTTTCCTACAGACACTTTTCCTACTACTGTGCCCGCGGTTCCGTCCAACTCCTTCGGCTGTCGGGGACCTTGCGGCAGTGGAGGGGGTGGGGGGGGGGGGGGGGGGGGAAAGGAGAAGGACGATTCCTAAGAGGGGAGGAGCCCAGGGGAGGGGAGGAAGATCCAGGAATAGGGGTCGGGCTGCTTTCCCTCCCCTTTGACCTTTTCTCCTTTTTAATCTTCTTCCTTCTTGATCCCTTCACCTTGCTCTTCTCCTTTACCCTTTCCCCTATCTTTACTCGCTCTCTCCTTCCCCTTGTTTCTCCCTCCTCCATTCTCCTCCTGACCATTCTCCCGACTTGGCTCTGTATTCTTCTCAACTGTCTTTTCAGCTGCAGCCTTCTCTTGATCCTTCTGCTCCTTCCCATCTCCTTTCTGACCTTTCTCCCCCTCCTCCTTCTCTTTCTCTCTTCCCTTGTCTTCCCGCTCTTTGTCCTTTTCCTTCTCCACCCTCTTTTCCCCATCACCTCCTCCGTCCCCTTTTTCCTTGTCTGATTTCTCCTCATCTGCTTTCTGCTCTTTCCTCGGCTCCTTCTTCATTTTCGGACAGTTATCATCTGTGGACTTGTGGAAATAACGTCTGCATGTGGCATACCATGGTGTGTCGCTGCAGGCCACTTGAATATCCATGGAACTGAATTCCCACAGGTCAACAATGAGACGCTGTTTATATCGCGCTTTTGCCGGAAGAGCCAGATCAAAGCGGAGATCTCTCAAGTCCGGGGTCACTGGGTACTTGAACGGAGCATAGTCCCTAATTATTGGTCCGAAAGCGTCCTCTACAGCTCCTTTTAATAGGCCCATGGCGGACACTGGAACGTCCAAACACCGGATCCAGAAAAAATCACGGTTCATTAAGTCCCTCCATATCAACAATTGGTGTTCCGACATCCAAGGCCTGAAGTACACTGTGTGTGTTTGATTGTCTAACGTAACTTTACTCTCTTGCTTCATGAGCATCCAACTAGCAATCTGTTTGGCCGAGGCCACGTAAGTGATCAAATTCCGGCCCTCATTTCGAATTACTCCCCTCTTGGGAGGGGCCCCGGTTTCCCCTGAAGCTCCCCACCCTCCCTCGTAAATCCGAATCAGACGATCAAATTCCGGCCCTCATTTCGAATTACTCCCCTTTTTTTTTGGGAAAACAGTCTCCACCTTGTATTGCAAATAAGCACAGGGGCCCGGGAATTCCGTTGCGTCCCAGTTTCTAAACGCAAGAGTAACACCTGGCGGCGCTTCAGACATGAGGCATGTTAGTATTGAGCAGTTTTGTCGTTTTTTGGACCGGTTCCTTACCAGGTAGTGGGCCGGTCCATTTGAGTCGGGAAACAGGCTCCATTGAGTGGGGACATGGGATACCGGCCATTCCTGATCTCTTGGAAAACGGCACAGGACAGCCCACTCCTTAGGGAACCGGGCTGACAGGCCAGAGGTCCCCCCTGGGGAAGTAGTTTGGCAGTGAGTGCATCCCCGGCATCTCTCTCTCTCTCTCTCTCTCTCTCTCTCTCTCTCTCTCTCTCTCTCTCTCTCTCTCTCTCTCTCTCTCTCTCTCTCT